TTTCGTCCTGGAGTGTTGGACTGGATTTTTAGAGATGTTGATTGCACTGGTGTTGTCACAGAACAATGTCATACTTTGTTGTTCTATACCATAGTCAGTTAACATCTGACGCATCCAGAGTAATTGTGTACAACAACTACCCGCCGCTATATACTCAGCTTTAGCTGTGCTGAGTGAAATCGAGTTCTGCTTTTTACTTAGCCAGGCGACTAGATTTTTTCCGATAAAGAAACATCCGCCTGATGTACTTTTTCTGTCGTCAGCATTTCCTGCCCAGTCAGCATCACTGTATCCTGCAAGATTCAGATTAGTATCGTTCGAGTACCAAATACCATAATTTATCGTACCTTTAACGTATTTCATAATACGCTTTACCGCCTTTAAGTGTGACTCTTTTGGATCGGCTTGATAGCGTGCACACATCCCAACACTTACCATAATATCTGGTCGACTAGCTGTTAAGTATAGTCGACTGCCTATCATACTTCTGTACATAGTAGAGTCTACAGACGTTCCTTTTTCATCTTTGAACAATTTTGAAGTCGTAGAGATAGGAGTACGAGCATCTTTTGCAGATTCAAGCCCAAATTTGGATAGAAGATTTTTTGCATATTTTTCTTGTGAAATAAAAATCCCTTCTTTAGTTTGACTCACTTGTAATCCAAGAAAATAGGTTAGTTCACCTATCATGCTCATTTCAAACTCTTGTTGCATTACCTTGACTAGCTGGTCTGTCTCTCCTGGTTGTGTGGATCCAAAAACGATATCATCTACATACACTTGAGCAATTGTTATGTGTTTACCTGATCGTTTTATAAATAACGTTTTGTCTGATCCTCCTCTTTTGTAGTTGTTCTGAAGAAGATATTGAGTAAGTCTCTCATACCAGGCTCTTGGGGCCTATTTTAAGCCATAGAGAGCTTTTTCTAATTTGTAGACATAGTCTGGATGATGTGGATCTTCAAACCCTTTAGGCTGAGCAACGTATATATCTTCCGAGAGATAACCGTTTAAGAAGGCTGTTTTAACGTCCATCTAAAACAGCTTGAATTTTAGGGCACAGGCAATCGATAGAAGGAGTCAAATTGACTCTAGCCGTGCAACAGGGGCAAATGTTTCGTCGTAGTCGATTCATTCAATTTGGGAGTAGCCTTGGGCTACCAGCCGTGCTTTATTTCTAGCGATGTTGCCAGCTGCATCGGTTTTGTTGCGAAAGATCCATTTGGTACCTACAACATTAATATTGTCGGGTTTAAGAATTAGAGACCATACCTTATTTCGTTCGAACTGCCCCAGTTCTTCTTGCATGGCCTTGATCCAGTGTTCGTCTGTTAGAGCTTCTTTGATATTCTTTGGTTCAATCTGCGAAGTATAACAAGAATATCCTGCTAATTGAAGATAATCACGTTTCGGTTTACCACTGGTTTTTACGCCGGAACTAGGGTCTCCAATTACGTTTTGTATTGGATGAGCTTTCTGGATGCGAGAAGGGATATCAATGTTACCGTGATCAGTGTCAGATTCAGACTCAGACTCAGACTCAGTTTCTTGCTCAGGTTGAGTTGACGTGGAAGGTGGCATAGGAGATTCTGGATTAGGTTCAGGACAATTTGTGTCAGGTTCTGTCACTGGTCCAGACGGAGACGTTGCGATAATATCGCTCGGTTGATCATCGATTACAACATTTGTGGACTCCATGATGGTTTTGGTAACTTTGTTGTATACACGATATGCCCTGCTGTTCGTTGAATAGCCGAGGAAGATGCCTTCATCGCTTTTTGATTCAAACTTTGCGACAGGGTTTCGATCCTTCAAGATAAAACAGCGTGATCCGAAAACATGAAAATATTTAATGTTTGGTTTCTTACCTTTCCATAATGTATACGGAGTCTGATTCGTGCCTGGACGTAGATAGACCCGATTGATGATGTGACATGCAGTGTTCACAGCTTCTGCCCAAAATTTTTGAGGTAGTCCTTTGGCATTGAGCAGAACTCGTCCCATTTCTTGAATTGTGCGGTTCTTCCGTTCAACAACTCCGTTTTGTTGAGGTGTTTTCGATGCTGAGTATTCATGTGTGATTCCTGTTTGGTTGCAGAAGGTATCGAACAGATTGTTGTCGAATTCTCGTCCGTGATCACTTCGGGTTCGAATGATGGGTTCATTTCTTTCTTTTTGAAGTTTCAATGCCAGAGTTTTGAAGGCTTCGAGGGTCTCAGACTTGTCCTTGAGAAAGGTAACCCAAGAAAAACGAGAATAATCATCTACGCAAACTAGTATGTATTTCTTACCTCCAACACTTTCTGTTTGAGTTGGACCAATGAGATCCATGTGGATCAGTTCCAAGCAGTGACTTGTGTTTATGGTGTGCTGAGCTGGATGAGAGGATTTGGTTTGCTTTCCTGCTTGACATGCACCACATATGGTTGGTTTGACTTTCAGCTTGGGTAATCCACGAACACCTTCAATCTTCACAAGTTTGTCAAGAAGTATGTAACTTAGATGTCCTAGCTTTTGGTGCCAAAGCTCAGTTTCATCTACATTGATCCTGCAACACAAAACATTGTTAGTGAGAATATAGCAATTATCAGTTGACCTTGTACCTTCCATAACACATTGATTTGTTTTGTCTAGGACACTGCAGTTATTTTTGGTGAAGCTCACGTTCCAGTTCTGGTCACATAGTTGACTTATACTTATAAGATTGGCATGAAGTCCTTTGACTAGTAGAACTTTTTCTAGTTTTGGCAGACCAACTACGTTTAGCGTGCCTATACCAGTGACTTGTCCTTTTATACCATCGCCAAAGGTAACTTCACCTTTGCTTGTATTTACGTTACTCAGAAAATTAGCATTTCCTGTCATGTGACGTGAACACCCGCTATCGAAGTACCATTTTTCTTCTCTACCTGTACTTTTAGAGTGGAAAGAAACGAACGAGATATAATCTGTCTTTTTCACCCAGATTTGTCTTGTAAAGGGTTGGATGTTCTTGTGTTTGAACTTCTCGATTCTTTGATCCTTGTAGAAATAGTAGCATTTAGGTCTGGTATGACCCCGTAACCTGCAATAATGACATACCGGGTTATAGGATTTATAATATGGCTTGAGTGATCTTACTGTACCAACGCGATGTGTCGCTGTGCTAGATTCTGGAATATCTCCTTGACCAGGGCCTAACGCTTTGACAAACACCGTTTTATCCTTTGAACTATTTCCTGTGAAACCTATACCAAATTTTGCAGAAGTCTTTCTTCCAGACTCAAGGATTTCGTCAAGTGTAGACGTGGTATCCATCATTTGAATTTGGCGTTTGTAGGTGTTCAGCTCCTGCTTCAGAGTCTGTACCTCTTGTTTTAGTTTTTCTTCTCGGGCCAATGCCTCTGATAAGCATAATTTCTAGGCGTTATTCATAGTAATTTTAGTGAGTGATTTGCATAAATAAATTACGTTTTAGGGTTAATTATATTATAAATATTATATTTAGTTATATGTTACTAGTTTAGATGGGTTTTAATAAATATTAGGCTAATATTGCATTTTTATTAATATAAATATGAGTTTTATTTTATCTATAGTATTTATTTGGTGGTTCTATATCTTCATTTGTTTAATAAGTGTTTTAATAATTAAGTTTAATTAAATTATGTCATTAGGTTATGATGGTTTTACTTTATTTTTTTTTTGTTTCCTTGGAGGATGTTGCGCAGCAGACAAAAGAAAAGAAAGAGTTTTAAAAGGGATGAATTATATTTAATTTGGGGTTGCTTTTGTTATCTTGGAGTTCGGCAGAAGCAAAAACAAGAAAAAAATAAAGGGATTAAGATTTAGGTTTTTATCATTGGAGAGACGGGGCAGTTCGGCAGAGAAACAGACGGAAAGAAAAAAAGAATAGAGGAGTACGAAAGCTTGGGAGCGGCGGCGACTTCGGCGAGGAGACTTCATCGCAGGGGATTCCTGAGCTTCAATCGCAGCTATCATCTTCTTAGGCTTCAATTATTTCTCTTTTATCCTTATTTTTATTTCTTGTTAAAATTTCCAGAATGTTATTTCTTGAACATTCAAATATGATTTTTGGCTAGAATTTAAATTAGGGATTTGGATTAGCCTATATTAGATTAATTGATTATTCTTCCTGATGTGTTGATTCTTCTAATTTCAATTGAATAATTGAACTTGATTATATTTATTTTATGTATTTTAATTGTGGATTGTGTGCCTGGCCACTGCATAATTCTAATATTAGGGTTCATAAGAAGAACTGACAGGTGAATTATGAACCTAGAACTCATAAGATAAACACAATTGACCTAAACTAGACATAGCTTTAGGTATTTGTGGTGATATTTGATTGTTGCTTAATGGGTTTAATTAATGTGGTAAGATATCGACGGATGATCACAGTTAATTGGATACAACCTAGTAGCTCGACGGAGTATTAGGATATATATGAGGCAATCATCACTATAGTTATAAGAATTAATATTTAGGAGAGTTAGTTAATTATCTAATAGGTGAACCCAAATCCCTAATCTTTTCTCAATTGGATTTTCCCTTTGCTTAAAATTCATAAATATTCTTCTTAATCACATTAATTCTATTTATTTGCGAATTTCCTTATCAACAATTTGATTATTTAAGATAACAGTTAATAGTGTTCCTCGTGGGATCGACCCTGGAATACTCCAGGAATTTATACTGTGATTGACTCTGTACGCTTGCAGATTATAGCAATCAAGTTTTTGGCGCCGTTGCCGGGGACACTTTTATTAAACTGTTTTCTTTAAGTTTTTCTTTTCAGATTTATTTTAGTTGTTAGGTTCGTTATTATTTTATTTTTATTCTTATTTTTATTAAGTTTTTGTTTTTTTTTCTATTTTTATTTTATTCTGTTTATGAACTTAAGGCGTTCACTAAGGCATAAAAACGCGGAATTATTTCCTATTGATCTTGAAATTGAGCGTACTTGCAGAAAAAACAGGGTACGAAGGCGGCTTGAAATGGCTGAAGATAATAGAGTGGGTCAACTGGATGACCCCGTACCACCAATAGTTCCACCTCCTCAAAATCAAGCAGCTCAACCACGTCTTCGTGACATCCAAAGACCGGTAATAGCTATTAACCCTTCTTGCATTCAATTATCTGATGCAACTAGGAATTATGAACTCAGGACTTTCCATCTGAATATGCTCCCTACCTTTAACGGTTTGGGAAGTGAAGATGCTTTGGGTTTCATGCGAGAGCTCTATAGTACGGTACAAACTTTACCATTAAATAATTTATCTGAAGAAGAGCTTAGAATGAAATGTTTTCCATATTGCATGAGGGGTGATGCTAGGCAGTGGTTGTTAAATTTACCAGAGGGTTCTTTAAGAGTTTGGGATGATGTTTACAATGCTTTCATGTTTAAATATTATTCATCTCAAAAGACAATGGACTATAGGAGTAGGATATGCACTTTCACTCAAAGAGAGGGTGAATTATTTCATGAAGCATGGGATCGTTTTAAATTGCTTTTGACACAATGTCCACACCATCAATTCCCATTGTTATTGTTGACACAATTCTTTTATGATGGTTTAACTCCTAATTGTCAGTCTCTTGTAGATACTGCTGCAGGTGGATACACAGGTGATAAAAATAGTGATGAGTTGGAAGCTATCTATGAGAACTTAGCTAGTAATTCTCGACAAAAGGCAGTGAGAGGTCGAAGAGCTGTTGTGCATGAAATTAGCACACAATCTGAGTTGACAACACAAGTGGCTGAATTGACTAAACAGATGAACTTATTGATGACTCATGATAGTTCGAATAGAGAATTTTGTTCTTATTGCAATACATATGGTCATAATTTTTCTGTTTGTATGAATGAGAGTCATCGCAACCATATTATGAAGAAGTCAATTACATGGGATCCAATATGGGTAGGCAACAACACAGGAGTGATCCATTTTCCCATACTTATAATCCAGGTTGGCGAAACCATCCTAACTTCTCATGGAGAGATCAAGGTAATGCAGGACCAATGGGACCACCGGGATTTCAGCAACAAGGACCATCAGGATTCCAGCATCAGCAATACAGACCTTTCCAGCAGCCACCTGCACCACAGCAGTCTCAACTTCCTGCTCAGGAGAAGAAGCCTCAATTGGAAGAGATGTTCATGCAATACATGGCTAGCCAGGACACGATGATGAAGAAAATGGATGCAAAAATTGATAAGTTTGCTCAATCCAGCCAAGCATCCATTCATAATTTAGAGGTGCAAGTAGGTCAGTTGGCTAAATTGGTTGCAGAAAAAGATCGAGGTAAGTTTCCTAGTACCACTGAAATAAACCCTAGGGAAGGAGCTATGGCTGTCACCTTGAGAAGTGGTAAGATTTTGAATGAAGTTCTAAAAGAAAATGAACCCATGCGGGTTGAAAAAGAGAGCGAGTGCCTAAAGAGAATTCTAGTGATCAAAACCTCAGTTCCTCTACAGTAAAACCTTATGTACCCCCCATTCCATATCCACAAAGGTTACAAAAGAGGAACCAGGACAATAACTTTAAAAGATTTTTGGAGGTTTTTAAAAAATTGCAGATTAATATTCCTTTTGCAGAAGCACTTGCTAATATGCCATCTTATGCCAAGTACATTAAGGAAATTGTATCTAATAAAAAGAAACTGGAAGAGTTTGCTATTGTGCACTTAAATGAGGAGTGTAGTGCTATTCTACAAAGCAAATTACCTCCTAAGCTAATGGATCCAAGAAGTTTTTCTATTCCTTGCACTATTGGTAATACTGTTGTTGATAAATGCTTATGTGATCTAGGTGCCAGTATTAACCTTATGCCTTTAACTCTTTTCAATAAGTTGGAAATAGCTGAAATGAAGCCAACAACAATCTCTCTTCAACTTGCTGATAGATCAGTCAAGTATCCGCTTGGAGTAGTGGAGGATATCTTGGTAAAAGTTGGTAAATTTTATTTTCCTGCTGATTTTCTGATTCTTGATATGGGTAGTGACACAGATACATCTCTTATACTTGGTAGGCCATTTTTGTTGACAGGAGGAGTATTAATTGATATGCCTTTAGGGAAATTGATTTTTAGAGTAGGTAAAGAAAAAGAGGAATTCTCTATCTCTAAAGCTGTAAAATTACCAACTTTTGATGAATCATGTCTTTTTGTTGATGTTATTGAGAAACCTTCAGAAGAAGAATTTGTTAAGCATTCACCTAGTGAAACACCACATCAACTTGAACTTAAACCACCTTCATTGCGGTTCAAATACGAATTTTTGAGTAACAATGATACTTTTCTTATGTTTTCTTATGCTCATTTACTTCATGCAAAAGAAGAGAGATTGTGGAGAACATTGACTAAAGCTTGGCATGACAAAAATAATTTTTGGAGAGAATTCAATGTAGGGCAAGAAGTTTTGTTGTCTAATTCTTGTCTTAAGTTTTTTCTAGAGAAGTTGAAGTCTAGATGGTTTGGTCCTTTCATGGTCACTAAAGTTGGTTCGTATGAGGCCATAGCGATTGCAAGAGAGAAAAAGAGACCATTCATGGTTGCTTCACCAAAAGGCAGCCCCGGAAGAAACTGGCAACTAACAGGGAAGTTTCCTGTTTATTTTATTTTCTCATACTTGCTTTTATATTTAACATTGAGGACAATGTTGAATTTGAGTGTGGGGAAGGGACAGTAAGATTAGGGGATGTTTTATGCAAGTTTTATGCAAAATATGCAATATCAAAAAAAATTCTGCATTTCTTTTCTGCAATTTTCTGCATTTTCTCTTTTTTTTTCTGTATTTTGCTACAGTAAAATTCTGCATTTTTCTTTATACAGTTTCTGCACAAATTTTCTGCATTTTATGAGATTTTCAACGTCATTTCTTTCATTTTTTCTACAATTTCTTAGCAAATAAAGTTTTAAAAAAATGCCATCTAATGACTATGTTGATTGGGAGATAATTTCTAGTGTTTTGGGAGTGCATAATATCATTGAATGTGTTTGGCTATATGTATGCTTGCATAGAGTTGGTAGTCAAATTCTGTCACACCGTGAGCTTTTGAGCCTAGAGGTTGCCCACTGTAACTTATTTTCATTTTGAGTGTTTATTGCCTTCTTTGATTGTGTTACTTCTAGAACTTGCTTCATACCATTTCAGAGCTACATGTTATATGATGACATGAGAATGATTAAGGCATTAGGATTTAGCCTTATAGCCTTTAAAATGACCACATCCTTATACATGTTATATTTTCCCTAGTGAACCATTTTTGAGCTTTAAAATAAATATAAGACATTTTTCTTCATTAGCCAGTTCCAAAGAACCTTAGCTCATAAAAAGAAACCTCTTAACCCGTCCTTGGGTCAGTGGATGTCATTATTTCATTATCTGTGCAAGATGACCAAAAGTGATGAAGTATGAGTGAGGTTGGAGTTGAAAGGTGATTGTATAACCTGGTTACTTTGGGTGAAGAACTGTTTGTGATCAAAGGGGGTGAAAATGAAGGGAAAAAAAAAAAGAACAAAATGAGATATGTTCTAATTTGTGGGTTGAAAAATCTTGTTAGCCCTAACTTTTGTGCTCATTTTATTCTTAAAATGATTTATGAGCAATGAAGGCATGATAGAAATTTGATGATTATGGGAAGAGTACTATTGAGTGTGATGTGGAAATGATGAGCTATCTATTCGGTTTTACCAGAAAGGAAAAAAGGAGAAAAAAAAAAGAGAAAAAAAATTGGAAAAAACAGAGAAAAAAAAAAGATGGAAAAGAGATGAAGGTTTTGGAAGTTGTTTTGAGAGTTTATCAACGAAAAGGATGAAGGAGAATGAAGTAGTGATTGCTTATTTTGGTAGAGTTCGTTTTATTGGTAGAATAAAAGTTTTTTGCTCTTGGTATGGTGAAATTATGGCTCTACTGATTCCTTGGACTTTATTTGTATTTCCTTATATCCTTTCTTTCTTAAACCACATACCCTTGGCCCCATTACAACCCAGAAATAAAGACCTTTTGACTCGTGTTTTTCATATAATTTTAGTAGTGGGGTTTTGGTGGACAAGCAAGCCTATGGCAAGTGCACTCTCAATTGAGGATGGTGTGTACCTTTCTTATACATATATTTATGAGAGATTGAGTGAACAACCGTGAGGACTACTATTCTCTTTTGTCTTGTGCGCTTATGACTTTGAACTCTCATGAAGTATTATGTGTTCACCAATTCCCTTGAATTGAATGCCTAATTGACATGGTTATTGTTGGTAGTTTTGTTTCATTGCATAAGTTTGCTTGGGGACAAGCAAAACCTTGAGTGTGAGGAAGTTTGATAAGCATAATTTCTAGGCGTTATTCATAGTAATTTTAGTGAGTGATTTGCATAAATAAATTACGTTTTAGGGTTAATTATATTATAAATATTATATTTAGTTATATGTTACTAGTTTAGATGGGTTTTAATAAATATTAGGCTAATATTGCATTTTTATTAATATAAATAAGAGTTTTATTTTATCTATAGTATTTATTTGGTGGTTCTATATCTTCATTTGTTTAATAAGTGTTTTAATAATTAAGTTTAATTAAATTATGTCATTAGGTTATGATGGTTTTACTTTATTTATTTTTTTTGTTTGTTTCCTTGGAGGATGTTGCGCAGCAGACAAAAGAAAAGAAAGAGTTTTAAAAGGGAAGAATTATATTTAATTTGGGGTTGCTTTTGTTATCTTGGAGTTCGGCAGAAGCAAAAACAAGAAAAAATAAAGGGATTAAGATTTAGGTTTTTATCATTGGAGAGACGGCAGTTCGGCAGAGAAGACAGACGGAAAGAAAAAAAGAATAGAGGAGTATGAAAGCTTGGGAGCGGCGGCGACTTCGGCGAGGAGACTTCATCGCAGGGGATTCCTGAGCTTCAATCGCAGCTATCATCTTCTTAGGCTTCAATTATTTCTCTTTATCCTTATTTTTATTTCTTGTTAAAATTTCCAGAATGTTATTTCTTGAACATTCAAATATGATTTTTGGCTAGAATTTAAATTAGGGATTTGGATTAGCCTATATTAGATTAATTGATTATTCTTCCTGATGTGTTGATTCTTCTAATTTCAATTGAATAATTGAACTTGATTATATTTATTTTATGTATTTTAATTGTGGATTGTGTGCCTGGCCACTGCATAATTCTAATATTAGGGTTCATAAGAAGAACTGACAGGTGAATTATGAACCTAGAACTCATAAGATAAACACAATTGACCTAAACTAGACATAACTTTAGGTATTTGTGGTGATATTTGATTGTTGCTTAATGGGTTTAATTAATGTTGGTGAGATATCGACGGATGATCACAGTTAATTGGATACAACCTAGTAGCTCGACGGAGTATTAGGATATATATGAGGCAATCATCACTATAGTTATAAGAATTAATATTTAGGAGAGTTAGTTAATTATCTAATAGGTGAACCCAAATCCCTAATCTTTTCTCAATTGGATTTTCCCTTTGCTTAAAATTCATAAATATTCTTCTTAATCACATTAATTCTATTTATTTGCGAATTTCCTTATCAACAATTTGATTATTTAAGATAACAGTTAATAGTGTTCCTCGTGGGATCGACCCTGGAATACTCCAGGAATTTATACTGTGATTGACTCTGTACGCTTGCAGATTATAGCAATCAGCCTCTTTAAGAAGCCGATCCCTATCGGCTATTTGAGTTTGATACACTTTCTTTGCAGTTGTTACAATCCCTATTTCACTAGTTAATCTACGATTTTCTTTCCTTAGTGCTGCCCATTTGGGATACAACTTATTAAACTCTATTTCAAAAGAAGATTCACTTGACTCTAAATCTTCTGCAGAGATATACTCGCCTCCCTCTGAGTCAGCAACATCTTCATGACACGGTCCAGCAGCTATATGTGCAGTAAAGTCAACAAAATTCCCAGAAATTTCGTCTGGATCAGATCCTCCTGTTTCACCGTCCGAGTCATCATCACTCCAAGTAACTGCTGACATGGATTTCTTGCGTCGAAGATAGGTGGGGCACTCTGCTTGTACATGTCCGAAGCCCTCACATTCATAGCATCTGATCCCTTTACTGTTGGGTTTCTCTTTGGACTGTCCTGGACGTGAACCAGAATGCTTGAAGGTTGATGATCCTGATTTAGAACTCGTTTTAGATGATGACGCCCCCTTTTGCATATTCTTGTTTCATGAACCTTTTGATACCTGTTTCAAAATTTTAGAAAACTGTTTAGTAAGAAATACAACTGGATCATCACCTATTTCATCTAAGTCAGGTACATAATTATTTTCTTCAGCGGTAAATGCTACTGTTTTTTGTTTTTTCATGTGATCTGTTAAGATTTCCATCTCATAAGTTCTTAGATTCCCCATTAGTTGTGTTACGGTCTTTTTCTCCCAATTGTCATGTTCCTGGATCGCTGTAACTTTCATCCGGAACCAAGGTGGTAGTGATCGTAGAATTTTTTTCACCAACTTTTCTTGAGTGAACGGTTCTCCGAGGACCATAGCTCGATTTGCTAGCTCTTGCACACGAGTGTGAAAGGTCACGATGGTTTCATCTTCATTCATCCGGAGCTCCTCGAAGTCTGACTGTACCAGTTGCAGTTTCGATTGTTTTACCGATGTTGTGCCTTCATAGGTAACCTCTAGTGCTTCCCATGCGCCTTTAGCTGAATCATGGCCTGCAACAATAGGAAATTGACTTTCATGAATTAGCCCATAAATAATATCTAGTGCCTTATCGTTGTGTCCAGCACTTGTTTTCTCAGCTTGGGTCCATTCATTTTCAGGTTTCGTCACTCGAGTTTCATCCTCACTGGTACTGGCTTTGGTTGGATGTTCCCAGCCTGTTACAACGATACACCATACTGCTTCACCTTGTGCTTTGAGATGAGTACGTGTGCGCACATTCCAATATGCATAGTTGTCACCGACTAGCTGAGGAAGAGCTTTAGTGTGCTCCATTCTGTAACACTCAATAACCCGTGAGATCGAACAATTTAACAAAATCAGAAATAATAATAATAGCCGCTGAAGAATTGAGATCAAGGGGCACGGAGTAGCCAGATCGACAGACTAATAACTTAAGTCTGGAGGCTCTGATACCAATTGAAAAAACCCATGTATCTTGAAATCAATTTAACACTAAGGATTCTACTTGATTTTATGTTGCGAGACAATTTCGCTGTTTAATTAAATCAATTTAATCAACGCATAAATAACGAAATTGAAAGCATAAATAAAGTCAAGACACAGTAGAATTGTTACGCAGTTCGGACCTCCTTCTCCTACGTCTGCGGGGCCAACCCACGTCTGCCTAATCCACTAGATGTTCACCACAGAGTATTACAAGAGGTAACTACAAACGGCTCACAGCCTTTACCACTACAACTCTTCTAAAACACCTATTCAGGACTGAACCGTGCATGCCATAACCATCTTTGGTGTGTAGCACTTCAGCTGTCACAGGTACTGATTTGAAGTACAGAATTAAATCAAAAATATAATATAATCAATATTAAAGCAGTAATATAGGAAGCTTGCATATGTGATCAGAATTTCAGAATTAGCAACTTCCTCTTTCGTTTTCCCTTCCTTATATACTGTACGTAATTCCCATTCCTCCCATCCTTGATTTTAGCTTTCACATGTGGCTTGAATTCTTCTCAACCACATATTCTTTAATTTGAGATCTTCAGACTTGCTCTTTGTCCAACTCATTAACAATAAATCTCCACCACACATTTTAGCTTGGTCCAATAATACTAATTACAACTCATATTAATTAACATTACATATTAATAAAATAAACTAATAAATTAGCCAATCTAATGTGTACTAATTTGTACACTTACACCTCTCGTTCTCTCTGTAGCACGAGAGTGGTGCTCTCGGTTTCGGTCGAACCAAGTGACTATATCGGTTGGAAAATGATACTGAAGTTTGGCATAACTTAGCCCGCCCGCAGGTGCCGGCGCACACGAGCTCGGGCTTGAATCAAGCCTTTTCGATCTCGTTTCTAGTTGGAATTTGATTTGCACACCCACCCCCCACCCCTGCACGAGAGAGCCTCTATGCTATACAATTCTACAAGCCCCAAAAGAACTCTTGTATAAAAGGGGGGTGAAATCCTCTTTCCAAACCAATGTGGGACAAAGCTCACTTTTCCCTTCATTTTTCCAACTCAATGGGTCTACTTTGAGAATCAATATCTCATTCACCCATTATCCGTTTTGAGCGTACAGTATATCAATCTCTTCGTCTCACTACGAAGAACCCGAATCCATTTTGACCCGACCCAAATCGGAAGTGGATCCCACTGATAATTATACCACAAAATAGCCACTTAACATGTCAATTTATGCCATTTTAATGCTATTTTTCCAACAATCCCCCACATGAATGAAAAATTGATTTTCAGGGTATTTTGAAATCGGAAACAACTGTGTTCAACGGTCGATCCCTGCATAGGATAGGTAGGGATCACTATACCCTTTGAACCTTCCCTTGTGAAGATATGTTTACTCTACTGGCTGTACGGTAGAACGCGATGTCTTTGAACTGACTGTCGTTTGTGTAGACGATGACATATCTCACACAGGAACCTTCCAACCATGCTCTGTTCTCATGAGTGTGCCCATTTTGGTCATGGGTCACCGTCCTGGTTCTGCAAGAGTTTGTGAAGAATTGTGCCAATCAATTCTCCTTTGAAGCGACCCTCACTTCTCTCTCACATAGGTGATTCTTTTCCGAGTATCCCGCATACTCACGCATGTCAACCGACATTCAAATCATTAAAGCATCAACATGCTAACCTCGTGCGGGAGTCACTGTTCTTAACGAAGAGTGGTAGGGAGTCCGAGACCCCCACAGTGACACGCTTCGTTCCATAATTTAGTTGTCCCATTGAACCTAGGTGCCAGCTAGGTTGGGTATCCACTATAGAACTTTTAGTCTAAGGGCTTTAGACCTATTCCTCGTTCCAATTTCTCCACAACTATTTGCTTACCCTCGCATTAGCGAGTTAGCGGCCGCTACGTTATCTTTTGACATCACGAAGTCAATAGAGATAACCCCTGTTGTGAGAAATTGTTTAATAGTATTATGTCAACGACTTATAAGTCTAGACTTACCATTCCACATCTAACTCTGTACTTAACCGCTTTTGGCTTGACTATCGCAATGCACACAAATTGGAGGTACGAGTTCACCACTAGGAACATTCTCAAAATAATGGCATAGCCATTCGGCCTACTCGCTCGCGACACGAGTGTAAGGCTCTCAGCTTTGATCCCGTCGGATCTTAGCTATCACAAATTCATTTCGAGAATTTCCGTCCAACCGACTGCACTGGCCTACGTAAAGACGTAGCCTTTAATGGACTTAGCGTCCTTTGATATCCGTACTATACTTTCCAAGTACAGTTAGATATCCCACGTAGTGCAGTCTAGAGTACGAGCATACCTTAAGTATCTCATAACTCACGCTATTGCCTTCTAGTGCGCAACACTAGGGTTACTCGTATGTCTACCGAGTTCGTTAACCGCTAAGGCAATATCTAGCCTAGTACAACCCATTAGATACAATTAAACTAGCAATAATCTGAATGTATTCTCCGTGAGATGTACAATCTTCGTGATTATTGGCTAGTTGTACATTAGTATCTAACGGTGTCCTAGCCACTTGATTAATATCCTTTGCAAGGATTTAATCAACACAATGAGATTGGCTTAACACGAGACCATACGGTCTTCTCACAATGTTTAATCCCAAGGATTAAATCTGTCAAACCCACACCTCTTATCTCATGTCAAATCTCAAATTTAACATGTTCTTGGTAGAATTGATCCTGTGATCGTTACTACCCATGTTGAGTTTATCGTGTATAGACAGATAGTGATAACCTCGTCTATCATACGCATTACGCAGACATTTATCACATTTGTTTATACTAAACTCGTGACACATCATTGTATGATCAAACCCACATGCCAAATACTAAGGCAATTGTTTCGACCCATACAATGATCTCACCAATTACACTTTCTTTCCATAGCGCGGAACCACAAAACCCTCGGGTTGTTCCATGTCTATTAAGAAAGCGATACATCCATTTCGATAAACTTCCAAGTCTCGCTAAACAGCTCTTGGGAAGTATCATCCTAATGGATTTCATTCTCATCACAAGAGAATATATATTGAAGTAATTGTGGCAATCGTGTCGCATGTAATCTAAAATTACAAGCACGGCCATTTTAATTCAATATAACCAACCGGTTTTATCTTCCGACTACTGATCCACTTAGGATCCCGAGGTTTTACAACTTGGAGGAAGAACAACCAGTTCCAAGTATGATTTCTTTAAGATAGAATCTACTTCACTCTCGGTAGCCTCTCTCGGGTTTGTCCATCTATAGAAGTCACCACTTCTACATATGTTCGAGGCTTGTTTTCTAACAACCATGTCAGAAAAATCCACTTTGTTTTCTAGTAAACAAGTTAGAATATGCGCGTCACATTCTAGCATGTACGTCAGAAAATCTGGACCAAAGGATTATTCAATCCTAGCTCTCTTGCTACATCTAGCTTTGAGCTCGGGTTCTCTTTCATACCCTTCAACCATAGCTACGTTGAAAGTTCATTTCAACGTGCTAGGTCCTTTTTGTTGAACCTTCTCAAAAATGCATATTCTAAAGAGCGATAAATTTCTTGATTCAATTTACCGTGTTCTTATGTATGTCCAGAACGTAGGACTCGTGTACTAAGAACCAAAACGCCTTTGGCAAGACACCCCCACATTTCAGGCATTCGTAGGAAAACTTCCTACGTACCCACAATTCGTAAGAATTTCATGTGGGTAACCTAATTTAAAAG